GGGGGGGGGGGGGGGGGGGGGGGGGGGGGGGGGGGGGGGGGGGGGGGGGGGGGGGGGGGGGGGGGGGGGGGGGGGGGGGGGGGGGGGGGGGGGGGGGGGGGGGGGGGGGGGGGGGGGGGGGGTGTTGTTGATAACTCACCATGCATCGGGCAGCCATTTCATCCGTGTTGAGCTTCGGTTGCAGGTTTAAATATGTTTCTCAACATGAATGAGAAACATAGCATAAGCACTTCCTTCAAAATTTCATCCTTTTAGCAGGGCCTTGATCAATAATGGGATCTGCTGCAGGCTGTTGCAGTTCTCCTTGCTGGCTTTCAGGGCCTTTTTCTGCTTCTGATGCGGGAGCAGGAACATAACCTTCTGGAAATGGTGGGGGTGGAGGGGCAGGTGGCAGCTGCAAACAACAAATTTTTGCCTTTTAATGACGATCTTCAGCCAATGCATTAGAGATATAAACTCTACATGAATATGATCAACTAAGTCTCCATATGAAAAATATAAATCAAGAACAAGTTTGCAGCCGATACTAGCAGCTTATCCCCTAAGATGATTTAATTTCTTTAAGAAGTTTAATTGTATTAATGTTGATTAATTACAGGTACAATATATGAGATTTTGTTCATTTGAGCCTTTTCTCAGGACACATATAAAGCCCTAGTCATTTCTGTTCACCCTTTAGTTCATACATGTTTTCACAATGTTTTAGTTAAAAAAATAGAGAATTCATAAACATTTATCAAACAAAACTAAAAGAACTCATCAGGTGAGATTGTGACTAAAGAAAAACTACACCCAAGTTCTCATATCTTAAATTTGAACACTTCATAAATTAGCTCTTTGCAATAGATACACAAACACAACATGATTTTCTGCTGTAGAAAAGATAAAGCTCATACAGTATCAATATATCGATATTTGAGTTACCTTGCGCTGTAAGGAAGCAAGAATACGATCAACTCGCTTTACTTCCTTAAAGTCAATGGTCTCTTTTGCAGGTTTTACTTCTTCACTCTCGTTCTCAGAATCGACTGAACCATGAGAAAACAGTCAATAAAATTGAAGCTGCAAGCTAAAATAACAAAATTCGAAGATCGTCGGGCTATTAGGCAATGTCTCTGTATCCATAATATTCTACATTTCTTATCAAAATGAATTGTTGCATATAAGACCCAAAAGTTGATTTCTGAAACTGAAGTTTGAATTCCAAAGAACTTAAATCAAGCCTATTGGGTACCAATTACAATCAACATCAACTATCTTAGAGCCTGAAAGGCTATTATGGAGTTTCTCTCTCTTTCTTGTTTTTGGTGTCAGGGAGTTTCTAATTCTTCATTAGCAACAATCAAAAAATAATAGCTAAATGAGCATGATTCAACTCAAATTTGAAAACGAAACCAGGTTCAGATAAGATAGAAAAACCCTGAGCACGTGAAATCATGATGAATGATCATCTTTTACTGATAACTTAAAAGAGCAAAAATTATATCATAAAGAGTTCGATACCATATCCAATCTTCTCCAACTTTGAGGAAGCAGTAGTAAAGGCCTTCGATATGTAATATAGTGCCCGGCTCTGTGGTATAATGAAGACTAAACATAAGTCTCCAACAAAATAGAACAAGAGAGAAGCAGAATCCAGACTAGCTTTACATCTTAGTACAAATTCTTCTTGCATTTCATAGCACGAAAAAAAAAAAAACCCAACCTTTAAGATGATGAAGCATGATTACAATATCACTAATTAGAACAGAAACTAAGTT